GCGCTTTAACCTCCGGGCCACCACGACATTATAATTATATTTAATTAATTAATTAATACCTCAATATTGTAATCAATTAATTTAATTAAGTTATTCTCAAATATTTTATAACACTTCCTGCACTTTTTTCACTTCAACGGGTTTGAGTAGATACTTACTTATAGATATAATTGTGTTTAATTTGTTCCCAACGTCAAGGTTCCACTTCCGCGCGCGTCTCAAAGAGCCAATAGACCACCACAGACGGGGCCCTAAAGGGCTGATGTTCAGCCGGGGTTACGGGGTAAGCGCAATTAGGCACCGCGACCTCGGCCCAGAGCGGGAGAAGGAACAGGGGGGTTTTTAGTCAGTAAGAGTCTGACACTCCCTCCCGCCCGACCTTGGGCGGGAGAAGTCATTTGATGATTTTCCCCTCAGAAAAAAAAAGTCAAGGATCCACGGATTTCCAAAATCCGTTTAAGATTTATGTGTTTATTTCTGACCTTAATATGATTGTCTAATAATCATGCAGTGTACACGTGTAGGCGTGGTCTGGATCTGTTTTACTTATTTTGTAGATATTCTGTAACGTTATTGATTGTATCCTGTTTTTGTGTGCCTAGAAAAATAAATAAATAAACCCAAACACTAATCCCTAAAGGGGATTGCTATAAGCCTTGGCAGGCACACACGAGCAGACGGATCCCCTGATGGTAAGCTCTCAGCGCCGCCCATGGACACCCGAAGCATTGAGCAGGTATAGGTGTGTTGCGTGCCTTATTTGGGGTTAGGTAAGCAGTTTTTTTAAACGTATTTCAGGATTGGAGATGGGAGGAGAGAAGGATTTTTTATGAAAGAAATGATTAGAGGCTTCATACGAGGGGCTTCGTCGTTTCCTGGGCATGTTGAACTTCTACAGATACTGTTTACCATCAAGCAGGAGATCAGACATGCAAAGCGAACTCAACAAATATCTGCACAATGGAAAAAAGAATGACAAGACACCTATCACGTCGTGGTCACCAAAATGTAGCAGCGATGTAATTTGTGTTGAAATAAAACAAGAGTAGAAGTGTAGAAATAGGAGCGTATATATTTTCTGTTCACACATTGAGCTTAATTACAAAGTCTCGGGGGCTGACGTAGTGGCAGTAGTGCTATGAAAGCGTCGCGCGATTGTCCAATCAGAACGTGCCTCAGGACTCTGCAAGTAGCTAAAAGAAACGAGACAGGTGCGCGCGCGAGCGAGATAGCACTTACGTAAATATAACGCGTTCGCAGCGCGTGCGGTATTTATTTCAATGCGATGCGTGACTTGAGGATGATGTAGCGATGCGTACCTCACATGGTCTTGAGAAGCGTAAACGAGCAGACAGATCGTATGGAAAGTATATTCTGTGGTGTTCGCATAGCTTTATCGCATGAGCATCATTTGAGTCGGGGAGAGCCAAGATTCGGCACGAATGGGTCGGGTCGATGGAAGTAATACCACGGCCTCACAGAAAACCGGTGTGCAACAACCACAGCGTTGTGTTTCGCCGTGTGAGTAAGGTTACCGGAGGCCCAATCCTTCCCCTCCCCCGATCCCTCCCCAATCCTAAAATCTCCAAAACACTTATCCCTAAGATGTCGGTAACGCACTCGTAACTCCTCCGTTGCGGGTGTCCATGGGCGGCGCTGATTGCTTACCATCAGGTCATTCGTCTGCACGTTTGCCGGTCTATTACACAAAAAAAATTTGCTTGATCGCATCAGCAGTGCGATTCTGTAAGTGGTAAATCGCCTTAAAACAAATTTCGAAAATCACATACTACTTCGCTTATGGGTGCGGCTGTGTCATGGGTGCAGTTACAAACATACAATTTCACATACACATCACGCCCAGACCCGGAACAACAATTTGTTGATCACACAAAGAGTTGTTCCGTGCGGGAATCGAACCCGCGACACGTTGCACGGGAGCGGGAGGGGGGAGAATCAAATTTAGTCGATAGGGCCCTTTCCCAAAATCTCCAAAACCCCTAATCCCCAAAAGGTCGACAATGCACTCGTTACTCTTCTGTCGTTGCGGGTGTCCATGGGCGACGCTGATTGCTTACCATCAGGTAATCCGTTTGCTCTTTTGCGGACCTATCACAAAAAAAACCATGGCTTCGGCCTGGAGCGGCAAAACGAACTGGGTTAAGTCAGAATGAATCTGACACTCCCTCTCCCTTGCCCGGACGAGATAAGTCATTTGATATTTTTTCTCCCCTCAACTAAAAGGTAGTCAAAGTCAAAGTCAAAATCATTTATTCCAACTAAACCATAAATAAGTACTTTTGAAACGTCAAAATAGAATAGTAGTCTGTCAGTCTGTTCGTCAGTGAAGCTAGCATGGCCTTCATGTCTCAATCCGAATAAAAACAGTTTTCTTTCTTTTCTTTCTTTTCTTTCTTTTCTTTCTTTTCTTTCTTTTCTTTCTTTTCTTTCTTTTCTTTCTTTTCTTTCTTTTCTTTCTTTTCTTTCTTTTCTTTCTTTTCTTTCTTTTCTTTCTTTTCTTTCTTTTCTTTCTTTTCTTTCTTTTCTTTCTTTTCTTTCTTTTCTTTCTTTTCTTTCTTTTCTTTCTTTTCTTCCTTTTCTTTCTTTTCTTTCTTTTCTTTCTTTTCTTTCTTTTCTTTCTTTTCTTTCTTTTCTTTCTTTCTTCTTTCAAGCAGCCAAGCAGGTGTAGGTAGGTACTGTTATCACTATACAAATGATTATCAGCTGGACGACCTTTGGATTCAAAGCTAATACAATTATTATCTTCTATACAAACTTTGTAACCAATGTTTTAGATAACTATACCTAAGAAAACATGATTTTTAAGTGCACGTGCTCATGACTAATATTATATTAACTAACCTATTATTTAGCTAATCAGAGAAGGACATAATTATACAACACTTTTCACTATATATGTTACTAGCTACTCTCACGCGGTTTCACCCGCTGCTCGGCTGCATTTGATCGTAGTGTAATGTTTTATAGCCTATAGCATTCAGGAACATTGTAGCTATCTATCAGTGAAAGAATTTTGGCAATCCAACCAGCGGTTCCAAAGATTACCCCCTACATACAAACTTACAAATTTTACCTCTTTATTATAATACTAGCGGCCCGCCCCCGCTTCGCACGGGTCCAACTACCTCGCTATCAAAGGGTCACTTTTTCCTAATCTTCCCCTCTACTTTTCTAATATTTTCTTTGATAAGAACCTTCTCCTGACAATAAGAAACACATAAAAAAATAATTAGCAAAATTGGTCCAGGCATTGTTGAGTTATGCGCTTACCAACACATTTTGCGATCCATTTTTATATATAAAGATTGGTATAGCGACGATAGAGCAAACGCATGAGCAATTGGAGTGGTCTATGCAATACCAGAGGCCGGCCGGCTACACCGACTTCAATGTTTTTTCTGAATGCGTTTGAGTTTCGCCCTGGATGGTTTAGATTCACAAATCAGCTCGCTAGATGGCGCTGATTGCTTGAAAAAACACGTGACCTCGGAAACGGACCTAAACATTTTGTTGTTTGATATATGTGGGTTTTCGGAGACGAGAAATCGATCTATTTAAGTGTGGGAGAGCCATGCTTCGGCACGAATGGGTCGGCACGACCGGAGTGATACCACGACCTCACAGAATAGTTGTGTTTCGCCGTGTGAGTGAGGTTTCCGGAGGCCCAATCCTTCCTCTACCCAAATCCGTTCCGATGGGTCGGCACCCATTCGTGCCGAAGCGTGCCTCTCCCACACTTAAGTGTTATGTAGTGATTTAAAGATAAACAGAGTGGATGTCGGTATTTTTAAAGGCAGCAAAAAGCTTTACCTACAATATTTATAGAAAATCTGTAACAACGTACCTAATATTAAATTGTTTTAATGTAAATTTTTATTGTAATTTCTCAGCCTTCTTTACTTTGCTTGTTGATATAAGAATATAATCTTAACTTAATTTTAATTAGTTACAATATAATCTTTTTTATTTCATTGTTAACTTTTAGTTAGTTTTTTTAACTGTATTGTTACTTTATGTCTTACTTACTTAGGGTTTTGCCGATTCGAATCAATAGGACCGGCAGATGATGTCTACAGATAAAGGTCCTTTAAATAAATAAAGATTAAAAAAAGGAGTCTACAACTAACAAACTTTAGGTTATAGGTACAGAAATTACTGACAAAATAAAAAACATGGATGGATGCAAGTGCTAAAATGTGCCGCGGCTTGGCCTAAAGCAGGAGAAGAAACGGGATGGATTTTAGTCAGTAAGAGTCTGACACTGCTTCTCGCTCGACCCTGGGCGGGAGAATTTTGACTGCATAGTTGGCGCGGTGGCTGGGCAACTGGATGCCGCGCAATGAAACAGTGAATTTATTTTTGCAAATAGGCCATTAAACGGCACTTTTCCACGTCAAATTATATGTGAAAAACTAGATGAAGCCGGCATTTCCTATCTGACTACTCTGAGAAGAAATGCCGAAACAAACTCAGAGGTCAGTCTCTTTTCAAGTCCAGACAATGTATAATATAACATAATGTGAGAGACAATGTGTCAACAACTCTTTGTGTGATCCACAAATTGTTGCTCCATACACACACTGGGTGTGATATGTTCACATACACATCACACCCAGACCCGGGTGTGATGTGTATGTGAAATTGTATGTTTGTGCAACGCACCGATGCCACAGTAGCAAATCCTTGTGTGGGACATTTTTTATCTATACTTAATATTATAAAGATGTAAAATTTGTAAGTTTGTATGTAGGTAGGGGGTAATCTTTGGAACAGATGGTCGGATTGCCAAAATTCTTTCACTGATAGATAGCTACAATGTTCCTGAGTGCTATAGGCTATAAAACATCACGCTACGATTAGATGGAACCGAGCAGCGGGTAAAACCGCGCGAGAGTAACTGATCATTAGATCATTTTCAAATCACAAAAAAAGGTTCATAACAAAAAAAAAAAAAACAGTAGAATAAAAAAAACGAAACGTCTGAATAAAATTTCTATAATTAATTCTTAACATTATAGTTTTTTTAAGAATAATCAGGTACTTATGTTTAATATAATTTATGTGTTACATAATATATTATAATCTATATAAAGTCTAATCTAAGAGTATGTACAATATTAACTAAGATTCGATGTTCCTTCTCTCCTTTGCCAATACTCTCCTTTGCTTAACCTCGAGAGAACGGTGGAGTTTCATTTGTTTGCATGTAATAAATACCAGTTTTCCTATAACAAAAAGAAAAAATCATATTATTAAAAGTTCTCAATCTATTCTATATATATTCAGTTTCTATAAAAAAAACTTTCAAGTCAACAATATGAGTCGAGCGGACGGCGTGTAGCGTTCCGCGCGCGCCTCAAAGAACCAATAGACCACCACAGACGGGGCCCTATAGGGCTGATGTTCAGCCGAGGTTGCGGGGTAAGCGCAATGAGCAGAATATAATATTATAAATGCGAAAGTAACTCTTTGAGTCTGTCTTTTCTTCAAGCCTAAACTACTGAACCGATCTCTGTGATATTTGGTACAGACATAGTTTGAAACTCGAGAAAGGGCATAGGATAGTTTTTATACCAAAAATCTGCAGGAAGTCACTATTCCACGCTACTCCGTCGCGGGCAAAAGTTTGTTAAGTATAAGTTTGAAATTGCCAATCCGCCTTGAGCGAGCGTAGTGGTAACATGCTTAAACCTTCTCCGTGTGAGAAGAGGCCTTTGCTCAGCAGTGGGCACTTATAGGCTGATGATGATGATGATGATTGACTAATGACATACATTTATTGAATATATACAGAGAATGTGCGATTCACCCGAAACTTTCTGCCGCGCACAGCAAAACTTTGGAATAATCTTCCGGCGGCGGTATTCCCGAACCGATACGACCTTCAAACCTTCAAGAAACGAGCATATTCCTTCTTAAAAGGCCGGCAACGCGTCTGTGACTCCTCTGGTGTTGCGGATGTCCATGGGCGGCGCTGATCGCTTACCATCAGGTGATCCGTCTGCTCGTTTGCCACCTATTCCATAAAAAAAAGAGAATTCAGCTTACCCTGTTTTAGGTATGACACCGCCCATTTTCAGTGTTTCAGGAAGTGTACTTCGACCTAGTTTAGCGTCACGGAGGTTTTGACATCTTCTACCAGTAAAGCCACCGGAACGGAGAGATTCAGCGAAGTATTTAAAACACCTGGAATAAAAATAAAATAAATAGTAGATTTTTAAGTGTAGGAGAGCCATGCTTCGGCACGAATGGGTCGGCTTGACTAGGTTATATCAAGGCTTCGCAGAAAACCGGCGTGAAACAACTATAGCGTTGTGTTTCGCCGTGAAAGTGAGGTTACCAGAGGCCCAATTCTTCCCCTCCCCCAATCCCCAAAAGCTCGGTAACGCAATTTTAACTCCTCTGTTGTTGTCCATTGGCGGCGCTGATAGCTTACCATCAGGTATTACTACTAGAATAAAACAAAGTCGCTTTCTCTGTCCCTATATCCCTATGTACGCTTAAATCTTTTAAACTACGCAACGGATTTTGATCCGGTTTGTTTAATAGACAGAGTGATTGAAGAGGAAGGTCTATATGTATAATAACATCCATTAAATAGTGGAGACATTTAGTATCAGTATTGCACCCGTGCAAAGGTGGAGCGGGTCGAGTCCAAATTAATATTATACATATAAAGAGGTAAACTTTGTAAGGTTGTATGTAGGGGGTAATCTTTGGAACCGCTGGTCGGATTGCCAAAATTCTTTCACTGATAGATAGCTTCAATGTTCCTGAGTGCTATAGGCTATAAAACATCACCCTACGACCAATAGGACCCGAGTAAGTGGATGAAACATGGCAGTAGCTAGTTTTCGATAAACTAATATTATAAATGCGAAAGTTACGATGTTTTGATGTTTGGATGTTTGTTGCTCAATCACGCCAAAACGGGTAGACGGATCTGCACGTTTGATTTTGAATCGTGTTCGAGTACGAAGTGAGCGTCGAAGGGACGGGGAAATTACATTATAGAATGCCACTTTTAACGTCATCTCATACTTTATTTATTTATTTATTTATTTATTACTTATTTATTACACTCTGGAGGACTTACAGCATAATCTAACTAAAAATAGAAGCCAACATAAACTACGGAAAGCCAATTACAAGTTCTCACGTATAGTGACAGACTTAACAATTAAGAAGTGAGCATAACAATATTTTTACAATGATTACAGTTTATTACACAAGTAAATTGCAAGGATCAATGAGTATTAACAAGAAACCTTTAGTTAAGAAAAGAGAAAAAAAAATACTAAGTGATGCAATTATTATAGACATTTCCGAAAACTAGGGATACAATCAAAATGCTACTTAAAAAACCTTAGGGTAATACGTCTTCTGGCCGACGCCACGCCAGTCGTAAAGGGATCAAAGTCATACTGCTTACATAAATTATTGAACTGTCTACTCGCTCGTACAATGAAACTATTCTGTCTGTAATTTGTTGATGCTAAAGGCACACGTAAGGGTGGGTTATTGCGGAATAATTTTTGCGGTACATTTAAGTGAAATTTAGATAGAAGTTCGGGGCTGTCAATAATGTTATTGAAGATTTTTAATACGTACAGAAAGTCGGCAATCTCACGTCGATCTTTGAGAGGTAATAAATGATATTTCTTACAGAGTCGAAGGTAATCGATGGAGTGATAAGGGATTTTTTGATGAAAACAAAGATATTTAATGAAGCGTCTTTGGATGTTTTCTATTCGGTCGATGTACTTGTGGTAACGTGGGTTCCATATCTGAGACGCATACTCAAGCTGACTTCTGACAAAGGTGCAATACAGAGTTTTAAGTGTTTTTGCGTTATTAAAGCACTTAGAGAGACGCATAATAAACCCAAGCAATTTAGAGGCTTTTTTGATAATAGTGTCAATGTGGGTGTCAAAAACTAATTTGCTATCCTGATGCACACCTAAGTCACGAATAGAATCACACCTTGGCAAAATCTGGCCCGATAAGATGTAGTTGGTGACTAGAGGGGCACGTTTCCTCGTGTAAGTAATTACTGAACACTTGGATGGATTCAGATCGAGTTTATTAGCTCTACAGTAGTCTTCAAGACGGTATAGATCTGCCTGAAGTGCTAATCCATCATCGACCGATGATATTTTGGAAAAGATTTTCATGTCATCAGGGAAACACAGCAGTTTGGATGACTGTAGGCACAGATCAATGTCGTTTACATAGATCACAAATAAAAAGGGCCCAAGTAACGAACCTTGAGGTACTCCGCTAGGCACTGAGACCCAACTAGATATGTAATTATTAATCACTACAGCCTGGGATCTATTATTAATATATGAGGAGAACCACCTCAACAGGTCCCCACGAATACCTATAGAGCTTAGCTTCTTAATTAATGTGTCGTGATCAATGCGATCGAATGCTTTGCTATAATCAGTGTAGACCACATCGACCTGGCTACCATCATCCATAGCCTTAGTAATAAAATCATTAAACAAAATCAGATTAGAAGTTGTAGACCGTCCCCTCAAAAAACCATGCTGGAAGGAGCCAAGCGAAGGCGCAAGAGCCGGGTATAGCTGATTATAGATAATACGCTCAAATAATTTAGCTATAATGCACAATTTAGATATGGGCCTGTAGTTAGTAACTTCAGTTATAGGCCCCTTCTTATGGACCGGTGTAATAAACGCAGATTTCCACACTCCGGGGACAACACCTTGAGATAAGGATTTGGAAAACAGAATAGAGATAGGTAATGAAATAGAGGTAGCACATTCAATAAGAAATCTAGACGACATTTGATCTGGACCAGCTCCTTTGGACGGGTCTAGACTGCGGAGTAGGTCAGTCACAACATCAACTTAGATTTCAATGTTAGAAATATCGGAGGGAGCTTCAGTGTTTGAGGAGGGAACAGGGTCTGTTTTGGGACTATTCGTTGAACTGGGCTCGAGAAAGGTGGAAAGGAAATACGTGGAAAAAGCCTCACAAATGGAATCGCCAGTGAGTAATAATTCATTATTGTATTTTAGTGTACTAGGCATAGCGTTAGAGTTGCAACGATTTTTAACAAATGTCCAAAAATATTTAGGGTTATTTTTAATAGATGTTTCAGTTTGACTAAGGTAACAGTTATAGCATGAGGCTTCCATGGTCTTGACTCTTTGCCGTAAGTGTTTATAAGTTAAGTCGTCGGATTTATTACCATAAGTCTTGAATTTTTTAAGATATTTGTATTTTTCCCTGATGGTTCTAATGAGCGATTTACTGAACCAGATGGGGTAAGTATTATTACGAACAAGCTTTTGCGGTATATACCTATTTTTAACCGACTTCAAAAAAAGGAGGAGGTTCTCAATTCGATTGTATTTTTTTTTTTTTTTTTTTTTTTTATTTTTTTTTTTTTATGTTTGTTACCTCAGAACTCCGTCGTTTATGGACGGATTTGCAAAATTTTTTTTATGATTGAAAGGATATGCTTCCAGATTGGTCCCATTCTTTTCAAAATCAAGTTTTGATGATGGGATCCATGAGAAATCGAGGGAACTCCTCAAATATTATAGGCAACTATATAGTAATTTTAATATTTTCATAGAGCACTCAAGCATTTACAGTCAAAAAGTAATGTTTGATGAGGTGGAACTGGTGAAGAAGATCAGAAATGGATGATGAAACTTGACACTCGCATAGATATCACAATCAAGGTAGTTCAGCAACTATGAAAATGCACTGTAAACCAATGATCTTAAATAATTATGTTGGAAATGTTATCATCGAACTGATTTAATGATGATTATGGAGCTGGAAGGTAGGCACTGGAACTGCGTACCTAATTAATATATCCTAGCCGTGTTTGGGCTTGTTAGAATTGTTATAAGATGCACTTTGGCTGTAAGGTACTATTGAACTGATGTGATGATGAAGCTGGAAGGTTGGCATGGGGCCTAGTATTGTGTAAGCTTATTAGAGCTGTCAAGAGCAATGGAAAGGGCTATGCTCATAGTTTCCGTGCATGTTCGAATCAGAAATGAAGAAATCCGCAGAAGAACCAGCGTCACCGACATAGCCCGAAGAAATGCCAAACTTAAGTGACAGTGGGCACGGCACATTGCTCGTAGAACAGATGGCCGATGGGGCCGAAAGGTTCTAGAGCGGGACCGCACACCTTTGGGGGCGGAGTTTGGCCTAGTATTGGCTATTTTGCATTAGTCCACGTGGACTGCGTTTACACATTAGTGGTGAAATGCGTCATTGTGTTCTTATCGTTTTCCTGGTAATAGGCTAAGAGAATTAATTGGCATTTTTAACAAAACAGTCGTTTTAAATGGGTTACAAAACAATAATTGCGTCGTACAAAACAATAATTGTGTTTCTTTTGTGTGCACATATGTAGATAATACTTACTTAAAAAAGGTTCATACATTGAATGAGTCATAAATGTATATTTACAATAGCGATGGTCTTTTATATTTTTACCAACTTGTCTATATATGAATGTTCTTAGTAATAACAAAATAGTATTCTTCATTTAATGGGTTACAATTGATACAAAACAATAATTGCATCGGTCTTTTTTCTATGTACGAATGTATTTAATCATAGATACTAAATTAGATTGCATTTGGTATCTTTGAACTTTATCTGTCTGTTGATGAAAATATCTAGTTTTTTGTTATTTGGCGAGAACTAATATGAATTTATGATAAGATTATTATTTTATTTTAACTATAAGTCATAAGTATCTCATGCATCATATCATCTCTCCTCGAGATCAAAACGATTACACAGTAACAATGTACTATGATATGTATTTCTACGTATAAGTATGACATTGGTAACTTTTTCAAAAGAAATGTAGGAACGATATTGACTTCTTTGCCATAACACATTATAATAAAAAAAAAAAACACTAAACGGCTACAAATAAAAAAAAATTTTACAAAATAAAAAAACCGCCTTCAAAAAAAGTCAAGCAATAAAAGTTCCTACACTAAAAAGTAAAAAATAACAATTTGAATTACTGTAAAAAAACTTAATTTATAGGTAAACTTATTTGACATTAATATTTTGCAAATATTCAAAATTTATTACTTATTTTTGGAGTCGGTGCCAGCCCATGCAAGGAAATACAAATGGGCAACAATCCCTTGAAAAACTACCTCTTACTTAATTATAAAACTACTTAATACCTATTTGCATACTCAAATATAGGTATATTAATTAAGACATAAATACAGATTAGACTTCTCTACAAAAAATGTCCGATTTGCACATTTTTTTTAATAAAAAATATGTACTTACAAAAACATTTTAAGTACATTGAAAATGTTTAAGCATTATGTACGAAAAATGGCACCGGATATTAAAAACCTAACTAACATTAAGTTTCAACATCAAAATGCTGGCACCGACTCCAAAAATAAGTAATAAATTTTGAATATTTGCAAAATATTAATGTCAAATAAGTTTACCTATAAATTAAGTTTTTTTACAGTAATTCAAATTGTTATTTTTTACTTTTTAGTGTAGGAACTTTTATTGCTTGACTTTTTTTGAAGGCGGTTTTTTTTGTAAGTCTTTTATAGTATCTATAAAGTACGAAACTGAGCCGTCCAGAGATCGAGTCGAAAACTGTTGTTGCCAATTGGCTGCCAATATTTCTTTATTAATTGATATAAAATCGGCTTTGCTATAAACAAATCTTAGCCGCGGTGCATGGTCCAAGGAAGGCATTTCAAACAAGTCTATATTGACCAATAAGGCGGGATGATAGGGATCAATAGTGACAAGTGGGTCAAAACACTCAGTAACATAAGCTAATTTATTTGAGAGGACCAAATCCAACAATTTCCCATACCCATTAGTCACTCCATTGTATTGTTGAAGACCCAGAGTGCATAACTCGTCGGCGAGCACGCATTCGTCGCTAGTGGCTGGATTCACCGGGACTAGCGAATTATTAATAGATGAAGTCCACGAAATTCCACTCATATTAAAGTCACCTACAATTAAAAACACATCGGAAAAGTTGTTTAAGGTAGTTTGATTTAATTTAGTAAAAAAGTTGTTAAGTTGTTTCGAGAACGAATAACCGTTGTTTTGTTTACATAAATAAACAGCACAAATGTATAGGTTTACAAATTCTCGTGAGTACAACTTTTTAAATCGTATGTTAATCCAAAGGTCTTCTGCTGAAGAGTGAAGGAACGGTTCCTGGGTAACGGGTAACTCTCTGCATGTGGCGATTAGCACACCACCACCACGCGATTGTCCAGTTATAGCATAATCCCGGTCACGGCGCCACACTATATACCGGTTATCAAACAACTCTGAGTTTAACACACCATCGACTAGCCACGTCTCCGTCAGAACAATAACATCGTAAGAATTTAATAAAACCTGACGATAGAACGTGTCCGTTTTTGTTCTCAGTCCCCGTACGTTCTGGTAGTAAACAGTCAGTCGCTGTTCATTGTTATCATCCATAGCTAAAATATGCAATAATAACGGTATAAGTTTCATTGTAACAAAAAACGACTAGCCAATGCATTACAAAATAAAAATATCTATTTATTACGGAAGAAAGAAATAAATATGTGAAAAGTGGGTAAATGTAAATTAAAGTAGCAAAAGTTTGCAAATCATCCGATATTACGTAGGATATTAGTAAGTGAGCAAGTAAGCAACAATACATCGGGAGCGTATGTGTAAGCGAGTTAGATATATAGTAATGAATCAGATCCCCAATACAAACAGCGCGATGCCGAGAAAAAAATAAACTCATTAGCGAAGCAGAGGTGCCAAACCTTTTACAATAAATAATTATTAAACAATGATCGATTTTAAAACTAAAACAAAAATTTATAAACTTACATTTAAGTATGTGGCTGTTTAAACAATCTTGTTTAAATCCTGCTCTTTCCGAACTATAAAAGTATTACAATTAACGTTCTTGCGTACATGAATTTTGCCATGTTTTACCCACACAAATTCATAGCGTTTCTCTTTGGCGATGATTTTGGTTTTATTTAAAAGTTTTTTAGATTCGACGCTTAGGTGGTCATTCACATAAATACGATGTGGTGCTCCTTGGAAACCTAAATCCGATGTAGATAGGTCCTTTTCTGCCCGCGCAGCCGCAACAAAGTCCTCTTTTACATACCTATTCAGGAAGCTGACTATTACTAATTTCTCCTTAGAGTTATGTATAGGTACCCTGGAGATGTAATTAATTTGAGCCTTAGGACAATTGTACTTGATTTTACGGCCGATGGCTTCGACGATTGAGAATAAATTTTCATCCTTCTTGAGGGGCACTCCTTTGATCTCCACGTTATTTAACCGGGACCGCTGATCATGTGACATAAGCTCGAGCTTTGCTGAGGCTAACTCAGATTGCAATGAGAGGACTGTGTCCTGGACCTTCTCAAACTCTGACACTTTCGATTCCAGATTGATAAGTCGAGTGTCGAACTCATCGAGCCTACCACTAGAAAAATCATAGCATTTTTTGAGATCACTCAGCTCATCCTTGATCGATCTTAAGTCATTGACTAAAGTCGGTAGGTCCAGTAATTGATGCTTCATTTCTCGAATCTCACTCAGCACTGTATCCAGTGAAGCCGTAGGTTGCGGTGAAAGAAGGGTCGGCGACGACACTCGGCACGCAGGACATTTCCATTGGGCTCTTCTGTCAGCACCCAGTTTCTTCCAACCAACTTCAGTCATGCTGGCACAAGAGAAGTCCAAGTACTTTTTGCAGCTCGAACATTGAACTCCGTCATTGAATCGCTCATTGCAACTTGCACACGTTTTCATTGCGAATAAAATAAATAATACTGCTTAACTTTCGAAAACCGTAAAAAGGTTGACAATCTATTATTTTGCGCGTAAAGCGTACTGCGTTAATGCGTGCTCACACGGAACTGACTATCTATCAAAATGTTGCTGTCAATTTAGTTCAACTCGCAAGTGTAGCGCTAGTGTACTACTACTCACGGATGATTCAGATTCGAAGTTTAGAATGAAGTCTTACAGAATCACACCCCTGGATGAAATTTGGCACAGGCATAGGATACACTCCGGAATAGGACATAGGCTACTTTTTATCAACATACCACGCGGGCAAAGGCGCGGGCGGAAGCTAGTTTTCGATAAGAAATTGACATTTTGATTAGAAATTCTTATTACCTATCATGGGTACAAATAACAGTCCAGCATTTGCACGTATTCCAGACTCCACTGTTGGGATAGAAGTCCACGTGGCCCAGCGGAGCGAAGTACCCAAGCCATCGATGTGTGTGGATCACTTCTGTGTACTGTGCATCTGTTTTCTTCAGCTTATGTTTGTTGAATCGCCAAAATGGTCCAGCTGGATCTAGACCTGCAAATGAAACAAAAATATGGTTAGCATTTTGTTTAAGAAGGTGTAATATATTTTAACCTTTGAATAGTGGCAATATTTTATAATATCTTCGGCACGAATGGGTCGGCTCGACCGGAGTGATACCATGGCCTCATAGAAAACTGGCGTGAAACAATTACAGCGTAGTGTTTCGCCGTGTGAGTGAGATATGTCGTGGTGGCCTATATGTCGTGGTGGCCTGGAGGTTAAGGAGCCCGCTTCTTATACATGAGGGTGTGGGTTCGAAACCTGGCAAGTACCAATGTGACTTTTTCCGAGTTATATGTACTTTCTATGATTATTTAGACACCACTGACATACGGTGAAGGTAAACATCGTGAGGAAACCTGGACTTATAATTTCTAATTGTAAGTTTGAAATCGCCAACCCGCATTGAGCAAGCGTGGTGATTAATGCTCAAACCTTCTCCGTGTGAGAAGAGGCCTTTGCTCAGCAGTGGGCACTTATAGGCTGATGATGATGAATAAACTAGTGCTTGACTGCGATCCCACCTGATGGTAAGCAGTGATGCAATCGTTGATGGTAAGGCGCACTAGTTTATTAAGATACCATGGCCTCATAGAAAACTGACGTGAATCAATTACAGTGTAGTATTTCGCCGTGTGAGTGAGGTTATCGAAGACCTAATCCTTCCCCATCATTCCAAATCCATTTATCCACACATCCCTAACCCCGATTGCGTACCGTCAGGTGATCCATCGGCTCGGTAACCACCTTATCACATATTAAATTATAAACTAATGAATATTAATGATACTTATTATTTTAAACCGATTATTTAGATAGCTATTATTATTGTTTAGTGATAAAAATGTTTCAAGAAAAAATATTTAATTATTTTATCGTATGACGGTAACTTGTAAATTAGTTAATGAAGAAGTGTGGGAGAGCCATGCTTCGGCACGAATGGGTCGGCTCGACCGGCGTGATACCACGGCCTCACAGAAGACCGGCGTGAAACAACCACAGCGTTGTGTTTCGCCGTGTGAGTGGGGTTACCGGAGGCCCAATCCTTCCCCGCTCCCAATCCCTCCTCAATCCCTAAATCTCCAATTCTCTAATCCCTAAAAGGTCGGCAACGCACTCGTAACTTCTCCGTTGCGGGTGTCCATGGGCGGCGCTGATTGCTTACCATCAGGTAATCCGTCTGCTCGTTTGCCGACCAATAACATAAAAAAAAAATGATTTTCATTATTTCGGATTATCTAGAGTAGTTTTTTAAAAGATATTGCTCGAACACTAGGATTTTCTCCTGTGTCGTGGGTGCGTTTACAAACATACAATTTCACATGCACATGACACCCAGACCCGGAACAACAATTTGTGGATCACACAAAGAGTTCGGTGCTCAACCAAACACGTTACCGCGTTGAGCCTTCGGATTAGTTGTTTACTTCAACATCATCATCATCATCAGCCTATAAGTGCCCACTGCTGAGCAAAGGCCTCTCCTCACACGGAGAAGATTTTAGCCCTAGCTTTGAGTTTCGTCGTATGAAAGAGGTTAGCTTTCCCTTTCTTTCTCAATTCTTCAATCCGTTTTTTTAAAGAAGTCTCTGACTGATCAAACCCCTCTTTCTTCTGCTGCCGAGGGCCAGGCCGAGGCCGCGAATCAAAACAGAAATTTGGCATAGAGTTTTTTTTTTTTGGCTGCTATCTCGCCTGGTGGTAAGCGGTGATGCGACCTACGATGGAGCACGTCTACCCATAAGCAACCTATTCACTCGGGCCTTGAAGACACCCAGGTTATACCCTTCGGGGAACACAGACTCCGGCAAAGAATTCCACTCCTTAGCGGTTCTCATTATAAAACTGGAGGCGAACCGCTTCGTGTGTGTAGGTGGGATATCTACTATGAAGCGATGACGTGACATTTATATTATTAACTAGCTTTTGCAAGCGACTTTATTCGCGTGGAATAGTGACTTCCTGACTATCGTATCCAATGTCCTTTCTCGAGTTCCAAACTATGTTTGTACCAAATTACACACAAATAGGTTCACCAAACTATATCTGTACAAAATTTTACTCAAATAGGTTCAGTAGTTTAGGCGTTAAGAAAAGACAGACAGACAGAGTTACTTTCACATTTTATAAAATATGTAAGTTTGGATAAGGATTTCTATTTTCCTGTTATAACAATAAATGGTAAAATATATTATTTACGTATATGTTATACTTATCTATATGTATAGATTATATATTGATTTATATCGTTATCATATTAAGATAATATATCTATATATTTTGTCTTTTAGACAACGTGAAAACAACGTGAAGACAAGTGTGAGAGAGCCATGCTTCGGCACGAATGGGTCGGTTCGACCGGAGTGATACCGCGGCCTCACAGAAAACCGGCGTGAAGTAACCACAGCGTTGCATTTTCCCGTTTTTTTGGAAACGTACATTTGTTGGAAACGTATAAAACTAATCTGTGACGCGATAACGTCATATAACACTATGTTGTATATTCATATATATGTATGTATGTATAGAAAACCCAAGTTGTCAAGCAATAAATTTTGAATTTCAGTAAAACTATGATTATCATCATATATTTTTTGATGACAAAACGTTATATTTATATTATATGTAATAGGTCGGCAAACGAGCTGACGGATTACCTGATGGTAAGCAATCAGCGCCGCCCATGGACACCCGCTACAGAGGAGTTACGAGTGCGTTGCCGACCTTTTGGGGGTTAGGGATTTGAAAATCCACAGGAAGTCCACATTCCACGTTCAGTTCCACGCGAACAAAGTCGCGGGCATCCACACTATACGAGCTCGAGAAATATTCCAAAAAGACCTAAGTTTTCAAACTTTAAGGGATGTCAAACTTATCCAGACTCTCCGAGCTTTCGAACCAGAAATACCTATTCCAAAAACAGCTGAAATTTTTAACTTGGCTTTTCCAATCACGACTACCAACCACAGTGCACATTATAAAAGACGTCAGGCGATGTAATCCTTAATGAAACACGTGTGACGTCTTAATATTACTAACTAGCTCTTAACCGCGGCGTCGCTCCCGTCACTACTACTGACTACCTACTCTACTCAACCTGACGTACTCTACCTACCCTACCCTACTCTACCTACTCTACTCTACCTACCCTACTCTACCTACCCTACTCTACCTACTCTACCTACCCTACCCTACCTACCCTACTCTACCTACCCTACCCTACCTACTCTACTCTACCTACCCTACCCTACCTACCCTACTCTACCTACCCTACTCTACCTACCCTACTCTACCTACCCTACTCTACCTACCCTACTCTACCTACCCTACTCTACCTACTCTACCAACCCTACCCTACCTACCCTACTCTACCTACCCTACCCTACCTACCCTACTCTACCTACCCTACCCTACCTACTCTACTCTACCTACCCTACTCTACCTACCCTACTCTACCTACCCTACTCAACCTGCTCTACCTACCCTACCCTACCTACCCTACTCTACCTACCCTACCCTACCTACTCTACTCTACCTACCCTACTCTACCTACCCTACTCTACCTACCCTACTCAACCTGCTCTACCTACCCTACCCTACCTACCCTACTCTACCTACCCTACCCTACCTACCCTACTCTACCTACCCTACTCTACCTACCCTACTCTACCTACCCTACTCTACCTACCCTACTCTACCTACCCTACTCTACCTACCCTACTCTACCTACCCTACTCTACCTACCCTACCCTACCTACCCTACTTTACCTACCCTACTCTACCTACCTTACTCTACCTACCTACCTTACTCTACCTAACCTACACTACCTACTCCACCCTATGTCCTTCTCCCAGTTCTTAGCTACATCCCTACGAATTTTCAGCTAAATCGGTTCAGCCGTTCTTGAGTTATAAGTAGTGTAACTAACACGACTTTCTTTTATATATATAGATAACTTGACCTGACTTCGCACTGGCGGTATTCGAAGAATTTCCGGTTCGTTTAATATATCAATATCTGTCCTTTTTAAGTAATTGATTTTTATTGAAACATTAAGATAAAGACGTTTAGTGCGATGAGATAATAAATGAAAGGAAAATTGGTTAGTCATGATTTTTCAATACTTTTTCAAATTCAAATTCAAATTCAAATTCTTTATTTGCATGTTAAGGTGGGTACAAGGATCTTAAGTTAAAATAACAGGCACAGCTTAACGACCTTTTTCAGGCGTTGCAAAGAGGGCTATTATATTGCATAAAAGAGAAAAAAATAAACAAAAAAGTTCATAATTAGATAAATAAAAAATAAAAAAAAAGTTGTTAGTGAGTGAGTTAGTAGGTAGGTGTTTGTGTGTATATGAGGTGGGTTTTTACATTAATGTTGGTGTTCTATTTTCCTTCGAAGAATTCTTTGGTTGAGTAGAAACATTTTTGTATTAAGAACTTTTTTAATTTCCTCTCAAATATTATTTCTTTCCTTTCGTTTTGTAGGTCTTTCGGTAATCCATTGAATATTTTGACTGCCATGTAGTAAGGACTTTGGTTAAGCATTTTAATTCTAGATGGTGGTAGGTACAGTCTGTTTTTATGTCGGGTATTAACATTATGGGTTTTCCAATACCTAATGATAAAAAGTCGCTCTTCGATGAGAATGGATTTGGTGCAAGATCAATAAGGTATCGCGGATAAGGACCCGGGTTAGTTTTTAGTCAGTAAGAGTCTGACACAGTGCGGATAGGAGATTGATGTTTTTTTGCTATCTTACAGAGATCTTTTATGTAGCCAGCGGATAAGTGATTTGAAACTTATAATTTGAAAATTTAAGTCCTGGTTTCCTCACGATGTTTTCCTTCAACATCAGTGGTGTCTAAATAATCATAGAAAGTACATATAACTGGGAAAAAGTCACATTAATGTTGTGTGATTAAGTGTGGGAGAGCCATGCTTCGGCACGAATGGGTCGGCCTGACCGAAGCGATACCACGGCCTTACAGAAAACGCCATGTGAGTGAGGTTACGAGAGACCCAATCCTTCCTCTCCCCCAATCCCAAAAAATCCAAATCCCTTACCCCTAAAAAGACCGTTGTCGGCACTAGTAACCCCTTCGTAGTTGCGGGTGTCCATTGGACGGCGCTGATTGCTTACCATCAGGTAATCTGCCCGTTTGCCAGTCTTATTGCATAAAAGAAACCTACCTGTAATGTATCCAACTTTTCCATCTAGGTTTCTGCCAACTACTCCTGCCTGATGACCGCCCATGCTGTATCCGACTATGTGATAGAGAGAGAGATCCGCTCCAGTCATGTGATTAAGCCATGTGATAAACCTGGCTACTCCTTCACCTGGAATTCACAATATCTTTATATATTTCAAGTGTGGGAGAGCCATGCTTCGGCACGAATGGGTCGGCTCGACCGGAGTGATACCACGGCCTCACAGAAAACCGGCGTGAAATAACCACAGCGTTGTGTTTCGCCGTGTGAGTGAGGTTACCGGAGGCCCAATCCTTTCCCTCCCCCAATCCCTCCTAAATCCCTAAATCTCCAAATCCCTAATCCCTAAAAGGTCGGCAACGCACTCGTAACTCCTCCTTTGCGAGTGTCCATGGGCGGCGCTGATTGCTTACCATCAGGTAATCCTTCTGATCGTTTGCCGACCTATTATTCTAAAAAAAAATATAATTCTGCTGTACGTGTGCATGTAATTGAACTACTCCTAAACGGCTTGACCGATTTAAATGATTTTTTCTGCATTCGTTTCATTCACACGTCAGCTCGGCAAATGGCGCAAATAAGTACCGTACTTTTTTCTCAAGCTGTCAATTTCGACGACTGTCATTTAATTTATATGAAGTTGTATGTAGTGAGGTCACGTGGTTTACGGGTCAGTGTGTAGGTACCTACCTAATTATACTTATTTATTGTTAATTACATAGAAAAGTGAATATCGAGTGATGGAAGAAACTTGAATATATTATTGCAATTTAAAATGAGAAATTATTTACTTTTGACGTAATCAAGTTTAGTATTGAAAGGCACTACTGTAGAATAAAAATTTAAAACTTATTACTTAGGAAAATTAAATATTAAATAGAACAGATTCCTCTAGCTTAAGACTTAAACAACATCATTCATTGATGATTATGGGTCTATATAGACTCTCCAAACTTGGCTTGCGCATATCTACCAAAAATACTTGGTCCAATCTCTAAGCTTGGCAGGCGTAAATCTACCACCAAAACTTGACAAACTTTAAAAGAATACATACCTGACTTAACAGTATTTTTTATTCCCGTAAAATAGTTTGCGATGTCCGCGCCATCTTTCCAGTCCACAACGATGACATTCATGTCATCTGCTTCTAAAAATGCTGTAAGAATTACCAATGTTAAAATAATCTTGCTAGAGGACTAACCGACAAATTGACACTTGACTTTGACTTAAAATTCTACTGTAACTTTGACTTTTATTTTAACCGTAATTTTGACTTTGCCTTTGATATTGACTTTGACTTTGATATTGACTTTGACTTTGATATTGGCTTTGACTTTGATATTGACTTTGACTTCGACTTCGACAAAAATACTTTTGGACGAAGATACTTACCAGATCGCACAATTCTGCTAAATCTGCCATCGGGGTGATCTATCCATCCATGAAGAAGAACAGCTGTTCTGCGATTCGGATTGAAATTAGAAGCTTCTAGCAATTTCTCGTTACCTAGTAAAAGAATCTGACTTTCCGTCGGATTTTTTCTGGAAGGTAATAAAGTATTCTGTTTAGTGAATGCGTGAAAAACATAGACTAGAGAGCTCGGGGAGACAGGCCCGGCCGTTGTATTAACATTCTTAACATAGAGAGACTCCTCCGTGCTGAGAGCTCGGGGAGACAGGCCCGGCCGTTGTACTAACATTCTTAACATAGAGAGACTCCTCCGTGCTGAGAGCTCGGGGAGACAGGCCCGGCCGTTGTACTAACATTCTTAACATAGAGAGACTCCTCCGTGCTGAGAGCTCGGGGAGACAGGCCCGGCCGTTGTACTAACATTCTTAACATAGAGAGACTCCTCCGTGCTGAGAGCTCGGGGAGACAGGCCCGGCCGTTGTACTAACATTCTTAACATAGAGAGACTCCTCCGTGCTGAGAGCTCGGGGAGACAGGCCCGGCCGTTGTACTAACATTCTTAACATAGAGAGACTCCTCCGTGCTGAGAGCTCGGGGAGACAGGCCTGGCCGTTGTACTAACATTCTTAACATAGAGAGACTCCTCCGTGCTGAGAGCTCGGGGAGACAGGCCCGGCCGTTGTACTAACATTCTTAACATAGAGAGACTCCTCCGTGCTGAGAGCTCGGGGAGACACGCCCGGCCGTTGTACTAACATTCTTAACATAGAGAGACTCCTCCGTGCTGAGAGCTCGGGGAGACAGGCCCGGCCGTTGTACTAACATTCTTAACAAAGCGATTTCAGAGGAAAAATGTAATAATACTGTACATTCTAAGACTGAGAAAATCTAAAAATAACCGGATATTTCCGATTATATGACTAATCGACTTATCATTTTCTGCTACCGATAAGCTATGTGTCATTTCATTATATAAGAAAATATTTCTAAGTATTTATTTTCCTTGGAATTCAAGACACATATTATGAGTCGTACGGTCAGTCAACCTCGATAGCTTCAGCTAGATGTTCTCTGCTTACAATACGTGTGAATATAGCTCATGACGACATCTAAGTAAGTACGTCTATCGATGACAAGTCAACCTCAAATGGAACCCATTTTTTTGTGAAGGGAATATCATCAAATGCCTTCGCCTGCCCGGGGTGGTTCGAAAGAGACTGTCAGACTTGTACTGACCAAAAAAACCCCCCGTTCCTTCTCCTGCTCTAGGCCGAGGCCGCGGTGCCTTAATGCGATTCCCAAAATCCCGGCGGACCTATACCACCCAACCAATATACACCCAGATTTGCGTGTCCAAGCACGATAAGGCACTGCTGTGTCAAAGGAACACGGCAGTTTTTAGTCTGTGAGGGGAAAATCATCAAATGGCTTCTCCCGCTCAGGGCCGGAAGAAAGGGAGTGTCAGACTCTCACTGACTAAAAACCCCCTGTTCCTTCTCCTGCTCTGGGCCGAGATCGCGGTGCGCGCGCTCACCCCGCAACCCCGGCTAAACATCAGCCCTATAGGGCCCCGTCTGTGGTGGTCTATCGGCTCTTTGAGGCGCGCGCGAAACGCTACTCTGTTTCATTCCACCCAGAACTGAAAAAGGCATTTGATAGTTTTCTCCCTTGTAGTCAAAGGATGGTAAAGAGGATTTTTGATATGACATGTCCAAAAAAAGAAGAAATTAGTCAGCTTACCTGGTGTAGAGAAGATAAGAGTTCTGTGTGTCCGGATCGTATTTAGCTGGTACGAAAACTTGGCCAAATTTTTTGCAAAGGTCCGTAAATCGGACCATGGTATTGACTTTCTGTTGACAAAAGAAGATTCTTGTTATTAAGTATACTAATAAGTATTATAAAGAGGTAAAATTTGTAAGTTTGTATGTAGGGGGTAATCTTTGGAACCGCTGGTCGGATTGCCAAAATTCTTTCATTGATAGATAGCTAAAATGTTCTTGAGTGCTATAGGCTATAAAACATCACGCTACGATTAAATGGAGCCGAGCAGCGGGTGATATGATATTTCGTACATTTCACAGTTCAATAAAATATTAAAAAAAAACATATTATCATTCATTGATACTTAATTAACCTATTTTGCGAGATAATTTTCAATAAATAAGAATGCCATTCCACTCATAATGGGGGAAAGCCAGCTTCGGCACGAATGTGTCGGCTTCACAAAAAACCTGCATGAAACAACAGCGTTGTATTTCGCCGCGTGACTGAAGATACCCAGTCTCTCATCATCATCATCAGCCTATAAGTGCCCACTGCTGAGTAAAGGCCTCTTCTCACACGGAGAAGGTTAGAGCATTAATCACCACGCTTGCTCAATGCGGGTTGGTGATTTCAAACTTATAATTACAAAAAATTTAAGTTCAGGTTTCTTCACGATGTTTACCTTCACCGTATGTCAGTGGTGTCTAAATAATCATAGAAAGTACATATAACTTGGAAAAAGTCACATTGGTACTTGCCAGGTTTCGAACCCACACCCTCATGCATGAGAAGCGGGCTCCTTAACCTACGGGCCACCACGACATGTAATCTCTCATACTTTCCCTAAATCCCCAAACCCCAAATCTCAAAAACCCTAATCCCTAAAAGGCGGACAACGTAATCGTAACTCATTTAGTGTTACATATTGTGTCCATGGGCGGCGCCAACGTTTGCTTGTTTAAAAAACGTATAGAATTTCAATAGTTTTCGAACGCGATAGTTTTTCAATTTATCAATATCTATGTACCCATTTTATCTATTTATTATTTATCTATAATGTTACCGCACGTTTCTGATAAAAAAAATTTGATAAATAAATAATATCTAATTAGTGTAAACATACAATAAAATTTATAATCTGTGATAAACTAGGATTTGGATTCGCACCGTGTCACATGGGGTTCGTGGCAAAAAGCTGGTTTGTGTTAACCCTTAGCCAGGCAGTGAGTTAAAAGAATTTGTAAGTTTGTTTGTAGGGGGTAAACTTTGGAACCGCTGGTCGGATTGCCAAAATTCTTTCACTGATAGATAGCTACAATGTTCCTGATTGCTGTAGGCTATAAAACATCACGCTACGATTAAATGGAGGCGAGCAGCGGATGAAACCGAGCGAGAGTAGCTAGTAGACCATAAAACAGCACATTTACACGTCAAAATTATATGTGAAAAAACTAGACGAAGCCGGCATTTCCTATCTGACTACACTGCCGTAGAGAACAACAAACTCGAGAGATCCGTCTCTTTTAAAGCCCAGACAATGTGAAAAATAATATAGGTAATGCATGAGAAATGTGCAAGTTTCATTCCGTAGTGGTCTTTTGAGGAAAGAACCACACCAGTTTAAGTGGAAAAAAATATAGTGTATAATGAACCGGTTTCAAAGAAAACGGTCGTGAAGCAACATACACGTCATGTTTTGTAAATCAGGTTCGTTGCGGGGTCTAAGACAGTCATTCATGTCCCTGGGACGCGCCGGACCTCAGTGTTTCGGTGTTTTCGTGGTTGTATCTACTGTAGATCCTGGTGCACAAGAATCGCAGTGATTTTGGGAGGATCTGGCGGGCTTGTCCCAAAAAAATAAGTAAAGAAAGACACTCCTTTTCGCCCCAATCATAGCGTATGAGTTCACTAGCAAAAACAAATGTTTTAAATTAGATAATAATGGTGAAGTTTCAAAGAATTTCTGTTACAATAATTGTGCATATTATTAAAGATGTTTGAAAATGATTTTTTGCGGCTCAAAATGTCTTATACATACTGCAAGGTTCGTTAATTTTGTCTTGAATAGACCTCATACCTAGACCACTACAGACGGGGCCCTATAGGGCTGATGTTCAGCCAGGGTTGCGGGGTAAGCGTAATGAGTCACCGCGACCTCGGCCCAGAGCAGGAGAAGGAACAGGTGGGTTTTTAGTCAGTAAGAGTCTGACACTCTCTCGACCGACCCTAGGTGGGAGAAGTCATTTGATGATTTTCCCCTCACAAAAAAAGCCAGCGTTAGTAAGTATGATGTAGTTATTAAAAATGTTAATATGGAAATTCCATATTATTTTCATATCTTTGTATTGTATATTATTTTACCTAAGCTGTTAAATATTTTGTTTTTGATATCTAGCTAGTTCACAATTTAGGTATACCTAAAATTGAGTTTTGCGCACGTCGATATTCATAATCATTCGAAATCAAATAACTACATATGTTTCAAGTGTGGTCGTGGCCCGGAGGTTAAGGAGCCCGCTTCTCATGCATGAGGGTGTGGGCTCGAAACCTGGCAAGTACCAATGTGACTTTTTCTGAGTTATATTCACTTTCTATGATTATTTAGAGACCACTGACATACGGTAAGGGTAAACATCTTGAGGAAACCTAGACTTTTAATTTCTAATTATAAGTTTGAAATCGCCAACCCGCATTGAGCAAGCGTCGTGATTAATGCTCTAATCTTCTCCGTGTGAGAAGAGGCCTTCGCTCAGCAGTGGGCACTTATAGGCTGATGATAATGATGATGATTTCAAGTAGAACACAACACGCACTTTTTAACGTCAAGAAAAAAAAAGAAAAAAGGTTTAAAGGCTTTATGCGTGTCAGTCTGTCCGTCCGTACCAGACCTGGAACAATTAGGTATTTGTGTTTCAAATATTATTACTTTTGAGTCGCCAATCCGTCTTGAGCATTGATGGTGTGTTTACAAACATACTATTTCACATAAACATCACACTTAGGTAATTTGTACTCTATCAACTGTGCACTTAATGTTATGGTTTTTAATTAAAACCTAATCTTTTATAAAATAACTGTTTCTCGGTGTAATAACGAAACAATAGTCTTAACACTAAATAAATTTTTGTTTTTGTGATATAAAATTCTAGTCACGATTTTGACATTATTGACTTATACGGCCCAGAGTAAGACGAGAGGAAGTGTCAGACTCTTACTGATTAAAAGCCCCCTCCGTTCCTTCTCCTGCTTAAGCCAGAGGTCGCGGTGCCTCATTGTGCTTACCCCGCAACCCCGGCTAAACATCAGCCCTTTAGGACCCCGTCTGTGGTGGTCTATTGGCTCTTTGAGGTGCGCGCGGAACGCTACGCGCCGTACGCTCGATTAAATTCTAGTCACGTTAGTTATTATTAATCTAGAAAAATCCGTTTAACGAATGTAAGTTGATAGAATCAGACAAGGGGGCCAAGTATGCCGATCGATAACCATGTTAAGGAAACAGCGACATCTATGGACGCTTGCAAGAATTAGGAACTTACTTCAAATTCTTATAGTGTAGAATCATGATTTTCGTAATTAATATGATTTAAAAAGTTTTATTCCGATATCAGTTTATTAAACGTCAGTTCACAGACGAGATAAAGGTCATTTTAAAAGTGAGTAGGAAAACTGTGTTGTTGAATTAGACGCAGGAAGGATGTGTTTTTTATGATATAGATTGGCAAACGCGCAGACGGATTACGACGACGGACGGACGGCAACACCAAAGGAGTTACGAGTGCCTTGCCGGTTGTTGATAACGGTTCCGGATATTTTAGGATTGGCGAGGGATGGGGATAGTGGAAGTATTTGACCTCGGGTAACCTCAAAAACGCTATGGTTATTTGACACCGGTTTTCTGTTAGGCCGTGGTATCACTCCGGTCGAGCAGACGCATTCGTGCCAAAGCTTAGCTCTCCTAAGAAAATGTCTGGGTTTTTCTTATAAGACCGTCGAATTTTGAATTTCTTCAATAATACTATTTATAAATTTTCAGTTTATCAATTTTTTTATAAAAGCACCCTCTATCGACGAGCGTGTGAAAATAGATTGAGGGATCTTATAGAAGCGAAATGGGTATGTCAGATTCGTGTCATTTGACGTTCTGCCTACCCTAATGAGAGATGGTTGTGACGTCACGTATGTAGGTACATAATATATGTATGTAGGTATATTTTTGTTAATAAATAAAGAAAAAAAAACTTGACAAATATGGAAGAAAAATTAGAAAAAAATAACTAACCTTTATAACCTTCACTATGAAACACAATAATATAAAAAAAACACTCCACAACAGCATGAACAAAAATAGAAAAGGATAGATGTACTTCAATAATATATCCTCTCTCACTCGCACTTAAAGAACACTAACAAATTTTTTTTATTTTTTTTTTCGAGAGTTTTTTTTCTCTCTGACGCTGCCACTCGGGTGATCTGTTTTTGAATTAGTAATCTGTATTTAGTGATTCATATTACCTTATATGCCGAACACCTGTTTGCTGCTTATCAATCGATTGATAAGCCTAAAATATTGATATACGGACAGATAAGCGTAAAAATAGTCAGTGCCAGTTGGTTTTAACGTATTTTTTGAGTCATATGTTGGAGTTTTTCCTGTCTAGCCTCAGTTAGCGTTTACAAACATAACGTCATTAGAATTTTTTTAAGATAATTAATTATCGTCATAATCGCAAAACAGATGACGGTCTCTCCTATACTTTCGAAACGATTTGTCATAATCCTCTAGATCGATCGATCCCTTTTTTATGTGTCAAGGGAAAATCATCAAATTAAATTAATGGCTCGGCTCGACCGGCGTGATACCACGGCCTCACAGAGAACCGGCGTGAAACAACCACAGCGTTGTGTTTCGCCGTATGAGTGAGGTTACCCGAGGCCAAATCCTTCCCCTCCCCCGATCCCTCCCAATACCTAAATTTTCAAAACCCTAATCCCTAAAAGGTGGGCAACGCACTCGTTACTCCTCCGTTGCGGGTGTCCATGGGCGGCGCTGATTGCTTACCATCAGGTAATTCGCCATCTAGTTTGCCGACCTATTACATAACAAAAAACTTGGAATAACAATTTGTAAATCACACAGAGTTGATCCGTGCGAGAATCGAACTCGCGACACGTTGCACGGAAGCCAGTTGCCCAGCCAACGCGCTAACCTTGCAGTCAATTCACTTCTCTGTCACCATAGATAATATATTACTTAACAGTAGGCTTACCATGACGTGTTTAAGTGCCAATCTTCCGGGCGAGAAAGAGGGATGGAGCTATAAAAGGTGTATAGCTCCATCCCTCTTTCTCACCTGAGAGATTGACGCTTTAAGACGTCATGGTAGGGGAAGCGATCGGCGGCGGCGACCTCTCGCGCCCGGCCTTAGTCATATCCATGGTTCGAAGTGAGAGGAACTGGGAAGCTTCCTCGCGCCCCAGCCGTCGCAGAAGCCGACATTCCGGGCGTCGGAGATCGAGAGATGATCTCCGGCCACCGTAAGCGCGACCTGCGGACCTGCGGACCTGCGGACGGCGAGTAAGGGTAGCTCACCGCCCGACCAGACTCGAGCGTACGGCACGTAGCGTTCCTCAAAGAGCCAATAGACCATCACAGACGGGGCCCTATAGGGCTGATGTTCAGCCGGTGTTGCAAGTTAAGCGCAATGAGTCACCGCGGCCTCGGCTCAGAGCAGGAGAAGGAACGGGGTGGATTTTAGTCAGTAAGAGTCTGACACTCCCACTCGCTTTACCGTAGGCAAAAGAAGTAATTTGGGAATTTGAGCTCATTAAGAGACTACAGTTTACACAGAGGCCGGCCATTAGCACTCTCTGGTAAACCTGAACCAGTTACACTGCGAACTCCAACCCCGCTTATGTAGAGGAGGCACATAGTCCAGAAACTATGTTATTGTAATGAGTAGGTACATGTTATTTTCATTTAATTTCTGAAAAGTCACATGACTCATCGATTCTGAATCATTGTTTTTATTTCTTCTGCCCTTTTTCTATTAGTGTCTCATAGCTCCTGCATCCTGTTAGTATGACGTAGATATTAAGCGACTGAAGCACGAAGGAGTCTCTCTATGTTAAGAATGTTAGTACAACGGCCGGGCCTGTCTCCCCGATCTCTCAGCACGGAGGAGTCTCTCTATGTTAAGAATGTTAGTACAACGGCCGGGCCTGTCTCCCCGATCTCTCAGCACGGAGGAGTCTCTCTATGTTAAGAATGTTAGTACAACGGCCGGGCCTGTCTCCCCGAGCTCTCAGCACGGAGGAGTCTCTCTATGTTAAGAATGTTAGTACAACGGCCGGGCCTGTCTCCCCGATCTCTCAGCACGGAGGAGTCTCTCTATGTTAAGAATGTTAGTACAACGGCCGGGCCTGTCTCCCCGAGCTCTCAGCACGGAGGAGTCTCTCTATGTTAAGAATGTTAGTACAACGGCCGGGCCTGTCTCCCCGAGCTCTCAGCACGGAGGAGTCTCTCTATGTTAAGAATGTTAGTACAACGGCCGGGCCTGTCTCCCCGAGCTCTCAGCACGGAGGAGTCTCTCTATGTTAAGAATGTTAGTACAACGGCCGGGCCTGTCTCCCAGAGCTCTCAGCACGGAGAAGTCTCTCTATGTTAAGAATGTTAGTACAACGGCCGGGCCTGTCTCCCCGAGCTCTCAGCACGGAGGAGTCTCTCTATGTTAAGAATGTTAGTACAACGGCCGGGCCTGTCTCCCCGAGCTCTCAGCACGGAGGAGTCTCTCTATGTTAAGAATGTTAGTACAACGGCCGGGCCTGTCTCCCCGAGCTCTCAGCACGGAGGAGTCTCTCTATGTTAAGAATGTTAGTACAGCGGCCGGGCCTGTCTCCCCCAGCTCTCAGCACGGAGGAGTATTTTTCATTTGAAATCTCAAATGCGTAGTATATTTAAGTCCTTTTAAAAACTTTACAACTTATAAGTTATTGTTATCTCATATTTCGCTATATTTGGACACCAAAATATACGTGGAACGCTATCTACAGAACTGATAAAATAAATATGATAAAACCTCAACACACTTAATAAAAACACGGTAACCATGGAGTTTCTTGCTCGTTGTCCTTGATTCTACGTTTTGTAACTGGCGAATAAGCGAATCACTTCGCTGATGGACTGACAACAGAATTTAAAAGTATTCTTTTTGTGTTTTTTCTTCTAGAAACTTCTAGAATTTTCTTCATAGTAGATAGTATTTTTTGTGGTTGGAGAATCATCAAATGACTGGGTGGGGTATGAGGGAGTTTCAGATTGTTGCTGACTAAAAATATACACTTTCTTTTCCTGCTCCAAAACTGACATACTGGACGTCACCCCAAGGGAGAAGCAGTTCCTAATCGAAAACACGTGTACCTTAACTGCTATCAGAGGGCCTACGGTTAAAGCGTAAATCTTCCGGGCGAGAAAGAGGGATGGAGCTATAAAAGGTGTATAGCTCCATCCCTGTTCCTCGTCATGGTAGGCCTACTGTTCTCCTAAAGCCGTAAGAGACCCCTGCATCTTAACTTGGCCCTTCTTTATGGCATAAATCGGCAAACGAAATGAAATTTGGATTTGGATTACACTTCCTAAGTTGAGTCACTATAAAATAACTCATATACCTACATAAAGTTTTTATTTAACCAAGGAGTTTCTTGCTCGTTCTTCTCCATAGGAATGTACGCTTTGGAACGAGTAAATAGCTTCACTAGAAGACCGACAGACTGACACATACAAAGTTAAACTTTTTGACATTTCTTTTTCTTGTTTGACGTTTAAAAGTGCCTTTATTGTATCACACCAGATTCCTACTCTGCTCCATTCCAGGGCCTCGAGTCTGCTATTACAATAGTGTCAGAATAGTAGATCATTGGTTGGAAAATTGTTGATTTTGACAAGTTTGGTAATCTACTAACACGACAACATCATTATGACCTCCCAATGCCGCTTCATTGAAATAATTCTTTAGAACGGTAATCTCGTACATAATGACAAATGAATATTTGACATAATGCGGTAAATTAATAAAAATAAGTCAGTTCCTTTATTCAATGATTTACGTTTAGAATATTAATGTGCAGTTATTTTTTATAATTCGTTACAAGACATCTCGCACTATAATTATATTACGACATCGCCGAACGCCAATTATCAGCCATTTTGAATTAACAGATTACGAACTTTTAGCAAAATGTCAATGGAATCGTGTAGGAATGACAACACTTTGAAAATAGTAGACTCGGGCCCCGGTTGAGCTGTGATCAAGCCCATTCGTGCCAAAGCTTGCCCTTCCGACATGGTCATGTTTTTAGTACTTCTGATTAATAATCATTATTAGGTACACAAAGAAGTAATTATCTAAAGAGATTTCCTTAAATATTTATCTAAAGGTTAGTTGATTATTGATTAAATGAGTACATTAGTACACTCAGCGTGCGTAGGTATAATTAAATTTATTAAATTGTACTTAAAATTTGTCATGTTTTATTACGTAAAGGGTCTATACCTAAATATTTTGTTGGCAGATAAAAAATATATTTTATCTATGATTCGCTCATGTGTTACGTCAATGACATTTAGATGATTTTGCGCGCTGCGATAGATGGCTAGACGAAAAAATTAGGACGAAAAGTTTTTTTTTTGTGATACTTGCTTTTGCCAGCGACTTTGTTCTTCTGCAGATTTTTGGTTAAAAAACTACCCTGTGTCCTTTCTCGAGTTCCAAACTATGTCTGTGAAAAATTTCACAGAGATCGGTTCAGTAGTTTAGGCGTGAAGAAAAGACAGACAGACAGACAGAGTTACTTTCGCATTTATAATATTAGTTTGGAAGTTTCGATGTCGGCAAACGAGCAGACGGATTACCTGATGGTAAGCAATGAGCGCCGCCCATAGACACTGGTAATACCAAAGGAGTTACTACAAGTGCGTTGCCGACCTCTTGTGGGTTGTTAGGGATTTACGGATAGGGGATTTTAGGATTGACGATAGGGTGGGAAGGATGGGCATCCGGTAACCTCACACGGCGAAACACAATGCAAGTATGCACAATGCTTTTTTAAGTGCTTCTCAAAGATCGTGGTAAGTATCCCTCCGGTCGTGCCGAAGGATGTCTGTCCTACAAGTAAAACCTTTTTTTATGTAGAGGAGGTCCAAAATTAAAGAATGTATTGTTATTTGAACTTGTAAAACATATATTTTTTTAAAGACGTAACGATAGAGTATCTAGCTCGTTCATCTCCATTCGAATCTACACTTTAGAACGAGCACCTAGCTTCACTGACGAACTGACTGACAGACTAAATCGTTATGGCCGTTTCCAAGATCACATGCTGTTCAAACAATCAGCGCCACCTGCCGGGCTGATTTGTGAATCTAAACCA